TTACCACCAATGTCAGGTAAGAGAACTTCTATCCTAGCTGTAAGTTAGCTAACAAAGAAAAAGGTATAAATAGGAACATTATGAACATTTCGAATGTAAAAAAAAGGACATGTGACTATCACTGCAATGCCAAACATTAACAAAACCTTCCACATACTCAAAGTGATGCATTAGAACTCAATAGTGGTATGCTGGTTATTGGGGAAAAGGGAATCCAAAGAGGCTGGGAATGAGAGGAAAGGCAACCGTTCCAGGGGTATAATGCTCGAGTGCTTGCTGAAGGGTTCAATGGCAGGGCGAGGAGTGATGGACCAGGCAGGGGTGAGCAGGCAGGACTCCCACTTCGAAGTCTACTATCACCTACTAGGTCTGTGCCCAGGCCTCATTCTTTTCCATCTATGAGCTGAGGACAACAGCAAGTATCTCATCACTGTTTGTTGTTGAGGAATTAGGGAATAATATTATATGCAACAGTAATTTGAAAAATACCAAGCAACTGTCCCAAACCTTGAGGTTCTAAACAGGAATTATAGTTATCAGTACTCTCAATTAACTCTCTAGAAAAATGACAGACAACCCCCAACTTGTTCAAGCTGCATCCTATTTGTAAGGGGAGAGTGGGAACCGTCCATCCAGGAAGTGCCTGGGCTGTTGTTTTCTTTAAAGTGAACTCATAAACTTTTGTCCTGGATTAGGTCCACACACGAAGTAGAATTCTGAAACTAAAGCCCAATCATAACTAAACTAGTCATAGTGAGACTACTCCATTGTTCCTTTGCTTTCCAACTTAATAAGCACATGAGCAGCAGCACCAATTAGTTACCAGTAACTTTGTTTTCTCTTGAACTCTCTATGCAGCCTAAGCTGGTTTCCAATTCAAGATCCTTCTGCTTCAGCCTGGCCTCAACCACCTTTTAAAGCAAACCCAAATTTGTGTTAAAGAATAAACAAAAGACTCATATGGCTGGGTGCTGGTGGCGCACACCTTTAATCCCAGCACTCAGGAGGCAGAGGCAGGTGGATCTCTGTGAATTCGAATCCAGCCTGGTCTACAGAGAAGCCATCTCGAAAAACAAAACAAAACAAAAAAAAAAAGAAAAAAAAAAAGAGAGAGAGAGAGAGTGAGACTGTGTGAGAGAGACATAGAGAGAGACTCATATGGTATTCTATTTCCAATATGTGCTACAGTGCAAACATAACTATTTTACCAACCACAACAGAAATTCCTACTTTTACTTAGTTGACACTCAGCTCCTTTTTACAGACCACTCATGAAGCAAAATGGTTCCTATGCTGCATAGACGGCAGGAGAATCTGCCTCCACTAACAGCCGTATCAGCTCAGAGAAGTGAAGCTATCACCAAGCACCAAATGTACCATCTGAGCAAGAAAAGTCAAGTCCCACCAAAGGGACAATGAATGGTTAACAAGAGTAGTTTTGCTTTCAAGAGCTGCAAAGGCAGACTGGCCATTCACAGGAAGCTGCATTAATGCTGACAAAGTTAAACTGTTTACAGAAACTAGGAAGCTATCCCCTTTTCCTCTGCTGTCACACACCCTGTCCTGTCCTCTGTGGCCAGTGTTGCTTATACTGCTTAACTGTAACTGTAAATTGAACTAAGAGACTAGTAGGCGGTGGCTCCCAGGCATTTTGTTAGTCTGACTGTGATGCCAGCTGTATCATGTCCAGCCAGTCCTCCACCCAGCCAACCTCACCTAGGCAGTCATCCACATTACCAAATGCCCTAGCCACTGTCATCTTAGAAGCGTTTTAAAGGACAAGATGTGTATGTCACAAGCACAGTGGTAGGCAACCATGAACTGACAGCCAAGGTATAAGTATCTAAAAGAGACCATTCCTTCCAACATATTACCCTCCAGTGCTGGCTTACATCTGGACAACATTTATGTGATGCTGAGATTTTTCTTTTCCGCCTAAGATGTTTAGTTTACCCACAATGGAAACTAACCAGGACATGAGAATTTTGAGAAAAACACTGTCAGCACCCAAATTGACAACTAATAAAAGAGTGGTCTGCTACAGCATCACTGCCCTTATCCCTTGTCTGAAAACCAAGAGGCCCTCACTCATCTTAAACAAAATGTCAGATATGGAAGGGTCTCTAAAAATGTCAGTAATTTTTCTCATTTCAATTTGCAGTAAGAAGTATAATCAAGCCACTGGCTTAAATGAAAAAACTTCCAAAGACATTTCTTTATTTAATTATCAGTTGAGAAGGGGCATGTGTGTCACACACAGCTCAAGTGTGGAAGTTCACAATCATCCCTGACTCTGGTTCTAGAAAAGCCATAGCATATCATCTTCTGACCTCCACAGGCACTAAGCATATATGCAGGCAAAACACAAAGTAATTAGAAAAAACAACTAACATTTAAAATTTGATTATACCATCACACCAAATGAAGAAAGATCTAATGAACACACATGGCCCAGAAAAACTCTGGCAGAAGAACTATATAAAGAGAGGTAGGGAACACATGGGAATTAAAAGGTTGTAAGGTATGTCCAGATGCCTATCAATTATATCGTTGAAATCACAGGTAAGCTAGCTGGAGTCTTTACCCACAACAAGGGGTATATTCTAAAGGCAGGGGAAACTGTCAGGGCTCTCTGAGTAAACTCAGTAAACTGTTTCAACAAGATTACTTCTGGAGTCTAAGAGACAATGAACAGTGCAGAAAGAAAGAAGAGGACAAGTACATCAAAAGTTACAGAAAAGACAGCACCTGGGAATTGGCTGCATGTGGGTAAGGCAAGGACAGTGACTCTGAGAATGAGTTTAAATAGGCAACATGCTTTATTAGTGCCAAACACCACAGCCCATTCAAAAAACCCCATAATCAAGTGCCTACCATGGGTCAGGTACTACTGACAGTTCTGAAAATACACTACACTCTACAAGGGTAGAGAAATCCTTGCTTCCAGATACCAGAAGCTTCTACTTTTTAATCCCAGTTGTTGTTAGCATTCTTCCATTGAAACAGCTGGCTCAAGTCAAGAATACATAGGTCTTCCCCTTGAGTGTTTTTGTCTGTTCTTAGTTAAATAAAATATATAACGCACCTTTCCTAACAGTGACACAGACCCTGATATGAGAACATGACATGAAAGAACAGATTCAAAAACTGCCAGTGGCAGCCCAATTAGATAGGCCTAGGACAAATGGAGAAGTTTCTTTCCCACAGGGAACTTCTCAGATACACTGCGCTGTTCGTTTATTCATTCAGGGTGTACTGACTGCTTACTGTGTAGTTGGCTGCTTTTTCCCTGGCCTTGGGAAGACAAACATCTGAGAAAACAGTGGAAAGTGTGTCTATTGAGAAAATAAACTAAGAAGGATAATAATAAGCTGCCCTTAAACAGGAGGGTGGTAGAAGAGAACGATGAGAAGGGATATGTGGAGTGCCAGTACGTCTACAGAAAATATAACGACAAAGGGACCAAAGGTCAACGCTGACCAGGAATCTGGTGACGGGATGTCATTTACCAAGTTAAATTTATCCTTTCCAATATATAATGCTGCCAGATGCTCAATACAAGAATTTGAAACAGTGCATACATACGTGAACTGTTCTAGCCAGCATATAACATACAATACACTAAGGATTTAAGACATGGGTTTTGTAAAAACATTATAAACCTTTCTTGTAACCTTTCTAGAACAGTCTAGACTGTTACTGATCATAGACTGTACCAAGGAAGACTGGTGGCTATACATCCTTGTCTAGACATGCCCATGGGGACCACTTGAACGTTAGTGACATCATCAAACAATTTCCTAAGCAGTTTTACTTTTAGCTGTCACTTTAATTATATTACAGGAAAGCACTTCAGATCTGAACTATCTCTACACTGTACACCGGCTACATTGCTACTGCTGATGGACCCTTTCTGGAACTTGCAAATAGAACCAAATACAATCAAAGTGCTCACAATTAAATTATAAAACGTTTGGTTAAAAATGCTGTCTCAATTCTTGGTTTTGTATCTTTGTTTTCTAAGTCCGGACCTTGCTTTGTCACCCAGGCTGGCCTGGAACTTGTGATTCTTCTGCTTCTGGTTTACAAGGAGCTTAGCATATAGGCATGAGCTCCAAGCCCCACACATGTTGTAACTCTGCCTTGGATTAGATCCTCCTTTCCTACCCTTCAACGGTCCTAAGAGCTATGAAGTACTTTATAATCTGTTTAGGATGACGGAGGCAAAACAAATGGAAATTATTTCCCACGTGAAACAAGAGCACAAAAGCAATATTTTGTTTCTTATAAAATATTTTATAAAATATTTACTGTTAAAGAGTTTAGTCTCTCAGCTGGGCACAGGGACTCATGCCTGTAATCCTAGCACTTAGGAGGCAGAGAAATGAGGGTCACTGCAAGTTTAAGGCCAACCTGGTCTACAAAGCAAGGAGAAGAAAAAGGCTCTAATCTCTCTCTATCAATCTCATCTCTGTCATAAAATAAGTGTTTCAGAGGCTAACTGGCACATGTGAACAACAGACTCACTCACTGGACTTATTCTAAAAAGAAAGAGGTCATCAGAAAGTCATTATGACCTTACTTTCTAACTAGTGAAATAGCTTCATTAAATCTATAGGGTTGACCTTGTTTTTTAATCTTGCTTAGTAAAAGGGACACACAGAAACCAAGTATCAGAGGCTACATTTTTGAAGGAATAGATTATACTGTGAAAGTCTGTAAGAGTGTGCTAAACCAGCATCACTAAAAGTCATTTAACAAAGGTACCCTTCAGAGCTAGGGTGGCTCAGCAGGTAAAGGCACTTGCCACCAAGCCTGAGGAGCTGAGTTTTATGCCCATAACTCACATGCTAGAGGAGAACCAACTCCCACAGGTGGTTCTCTGACATCCACATATATGCTATGGCATGCAGATGACCCCCCCCCACACACACACATAAATAAAAACACAACAAAGGAACAAAAATAAATAAAACATTTTAGAGAAGCAAATGTCTTACCAGTTGGAATTCCCGACGCCGGTCATAGGCATTCTGTATACCACTGTCATCCCACAAGGCTTTTATAGCAGGAAGATACTGCAAAAAAACTCGAGTCTCCACCATCCCCTGTGCAGCCATGGGGGCACGGGTATCAAATGCCATCAACTTGTCGCCATGGAGCTGGTTTTTGCTATCTCCCCAGGGAATATGAAGCTTCTCTCGGGCATCTACCAGCACCCTCATACCTTGTTTAAAAAGAAAAAAAAAAAAAAAAAAAAGTGAGGAAGAGCCATTAAGATACAATCACAACCTTTCACCCCAGTGTTATTCAGTATTGTTTTCTTAATTTTTTTAAGCTATTACAGAACCCCCACTCCCAAAATGGAGACCAGAATCAACACAGAACCTTATCTTCTCAAAGTTTTAAAACACACACACACACACACACACACAATTATTCACTGTCGTAAAACTAGAAACCCTGGAAAGTAAGTATCAATAACTGATAACAGAAATAACTCTCAGAAGGATTTTAATATGCTGCAATCCATAAAATCATTTCTGGAGAGGGAGGCGGTCAAAACCAGAGACGGGAAAAATAAATAATGCTGCCTAGCCCAAAGTCGCTGTGTCCAGTCAGAGTCCTTTAGCCCCTACCAACACTGTCTTCCAGGACACACGCAAGACTAAGCTGCAAATCAGTACAGTTACCTAAAAGCCAGAGCAACTGCAAAATGATTCACAAACAGAGGCCTCCACTTGCTCAGGTCGATTCAGACTCAATACTCAAATCACTAAACTGTTACTTCTGTCTTAGTCTATCAGGAAGTTACTTTTTGGGATACGTGAAAAATAAAAAACTGTTTTGCTTTCAACTTTCTGACCACTCCAAGGAAATAAGGGGCCTAGTTAGACTTAGGCTTGATCATACAATAATGCTCAAAGTAATTCTTAGGCCCAGTATATATCAAAAAGCAGGTGTTTACCTTACAGTGTATACTTGAGTCTATTCATTAACATGATTCTTTAAGTTCAACTGCATGAGGGTACAAAGGTACCTTCAATTATGGGCTAGCAAGGTACACTTTACAGCCTTAGAAGAGACCTTAATTAGTTTTATGCTAAACATTAAGGCAGACTAAATACAAGCACTCTTTACAGTTAAACTGCAGAGGTACAAGGCTAAGAGCCACGGACTGTGAGCTCCTGGCCTGGCTATCTCCCCTCATTGCCCTACAATGCCCCCCTCTCTAGTTTTTCCCCATTTGAAATCCTCAAGAAGGGGGAGGGGAGACATGAAGGGGTTTGCTTTATGTACTTCCTGAACAAGAAAAACCCACTTAAAAAAAAAAAAAAATAAAGCCACATAACAACTTGAAGAAGACCCACAATCTTAGTTTGCTTCAAGGTCCCAGCTAAAACAGGGTGACTCCTTAATCACTCATAACTCAGGCACTGTGCCTCAGTTTTGACAATGTCTTTTATGTAGAAGATTTGTGACACTAAAGAAAAATACCAAGGGTGACATTTTAAATGACAAAAGCCACCTTCACCGCTTCTCTGAATGCTAGGAAATAAAGACATCGTGTGTTTTTCACTGAGGAACAATATTTTAACTTTAAAATGTTGTCAAACAGAATCTGCAATGCCCATGATCCAACAGCACACATATTCACTACCACTAACTTCTGTGTGGTCTCCTGCGACTTTTAAGCCAAAAAGTCTTAGTAGCTAAACATACATTCATTTAAATATTAGCAATGATGCCGGATTTTTTTTTTCCTCCTGCCCCAAGTTCTTAAGCAAAAAAGAAAGTGTGCATCATGTTGAACTGTGATTACAAACATCCTGTAGCACTGGGGTGATAAAACCACTGGTGCTAGAATTTTTTTTTTTTTTAAGTAGGCTTTCCTGATGCCAATTCAGTAAACGCGACACCCTTGAGTTTCATACTCTTGCCCCAAAAGGTCCCAGAGGCTGTCACTCTGTGCCCTTGACAAGAGTCTCAGGGCAAAAAAAAAAAAAAAAAAAAAGTTTCCTCATTGCGGCGGTTCCAGAACTTGCTTAACTCAAGAGGTGGCTTAGGACGCCTAGAGCTTCCGAGCCGGTTACCACGGTCACCCACTAGTGGCGGGGAGACCAGGGAAGGATTGGGAGTGTAGGACGTGGGGCTGCCGATGGGTGGGCTTGTCTGCCTGGTGTGCCCCGCTGCCCTGCCGGGAGTCACCCCGCTCGCCACCCGGAGGGGGCGAGGCCAGCGGCGCGGTGCGGGGCCGACCGTGACCCTCACTGGGGTGGCCCGGGGGACAAGCGGGGCGCCCCGGACCTGAGGGTCCAGGGCACAGCGGCGCGCAGGACGGTGCCCGAGGCGCGCCCACCCGCTCGCTCGCCGGTCCGATCCGGTGTCCTCAGACTTGGGACGGGCGGGTGAGTGAGGGCGGTGCCCGGCCCCGCTCCCCGGGGGTCCCCGGGTCCCCGCCGCGCCCCCGCACCTTTGATCACGTTGCTGTAGATGGTGGGGCGGAACTCCTCGCGCGCGCGCTGGTCGAAGTCCTGGCCGTGGATGATCCGCATCTGCTTCAGGAAGGTGGACTTGCCGCTCTCGCCCGCGCCCAGCAGCAGGATCTTCACCAGCCGCTTCACGTAGGTCTTCTCCCGCGACAGGCATTTGTCGATCTCCTTGGACTTGCGCTGCTGCTCGGCCTCGCCGTTCGTCAACACGCAGCCCGGGAAGCACACGGACAGCACGGAGCGCGACGGCAGGAAGTCCGCCATCTTGCCGCCGCCGCCGCCGCCGCCTCGGCGGGCCCCTGCGGCTCCTCCACCTCCTCCTCCGGCAGCGGCTGGCTCCGGCGAGGCGGCCGGAGGGCGGGGAGCGCAGCGGCGGCCCGAGCGCGCCCGGGGAGGGAGGGAACCCGAGGACTGACTCGCCAGGGCGGGCCGCGCCGGCCGGGGGAGGGTGGGAGGGAGGGCGGGCCCAGGGAGGGGCGGCGGCCCTCGGGGCGTGCGCGCCCCCGCCGCCTGCCGGGCGCGCGCACGCAGGCACGCAGCGCTGGGCAGGCCGGCGCGAGTCCCTCCCCCTCCTCCCCCCTCCCCGCTCGCTGGCCGGGAGCGCGCGCGGGGAGAGGCGGGGCCCGGGGGTCACGTGCGCCGGGCCGGGCGCGCGCCTGCGGATCCAGACTTTCTGTTTCCCTTCAGTGCAGCGGCTTCCCCGAGCCCGGAGCACGGAGGCGAGCAAGCCGGTCCCGACACCATCCCCTTAGCGGCTCCTTCTCGCAGCGGTCATCACTGTCCTTTCCCGTAGTTGCTCGCCCGCCGCCTGCTGTCACCTCCACACGCCCTAGTTTGAGATCATTGGCTGGGACATTACCGCACCGACGTGCGCAAGCCTGGAAGGTTCCTCGGTGCCGCCTCCTTCCTTCGTTACATTTTGTCCCCTCTCCCCCCCCCCCCTTTTTTTAACTCTTGAGATAAGATTTCACCGTACAGCAAAAGCTGGTTTAAATTTGTGGCAATCCTCCTGCCTCATCCTCCCTCTCCACTGCTGGGATTACAGACAAGCGCTTCAATACAAGCCCTGGCATTTAACTAGCAGCGACTCCCTCGCCATTCTACCACCCTGAGTCTAGAAGGATAACTAGATGTCAAATGTCTTATTGATCAACACCCCTCTCTAGCAATTCAGGGCATTATTGACACCTGCCCTGGTTTGAGGAGAGTTGGAGTTGATGTTCATGTGAGATGTGCTAGCCCGATGTACTGGCTGGCTGGCTCGCTAATGTGGATCCCACCCGAGCTGCACTAATGACTTGGGTAATGCCGGCTGAGGTCAGGGAATGGTGGAGAGGGTGAGGTCATGGTGAAAATCCCCCTAAACCGGACACTGTGATGCGCGTTCTTCCCAAGGAAGCAGATAAGCCAACAGCGTAGGACTGTAGCAGGACATTTTAGGTTTCCTGCCAGATTACAGAGGATATGACTGGCAAGAGACTTTTTTTCCCTGTCACAACAGCAGATGAGGCCAGGGCACCTGAAAAGACTCCTGAAGACACACGTGACAAATGACAGCTGGGTTGCCTGCATGAGTATGCAGCAGGGACCTCAGAAGCCAACTTCTTCATTCTTCGCCAATTTCAAAGGGGAAAGGCGGTGGTTGATGCCTGTCTGGTTTTGCCTCGATATTTTTTTGCTGCTGGTTTTGGGCTCCTGCAACTCGAGCGCTTCCGGTGTGTTAGGGAGGGAGCCAGGGGTAAGAGGTCAGCACAGTGAGAGGCCAGTGCACAAGTTTAAATTTAAAAACCAGTACTAAGTCAATCAGCTACTGTCATTTGGGTTGGTGACTGAGAAGCCCGAGACTCAGTACCTGGCTGCAGTAAACGATACCCGTAACAAGAGTTATCTCTTATTACACCCACCAGAGCTACAGAGTGGACCTGAGCCCACAGAGTAGACCATCTATCTGTAAAGTGGGCTCAGCTCACAGCCAGCATCCATGGATGTAGGGTCAGACCTAATTGAGACAAAAGCCTGCTGGAAGTGAGTGGACGATGGTCTGTATATAGATAGCACTTTTAGGAATGCCCCGTTCTAGAGCCAAGAAGAAAATAAAATAGCTTCCACCCAGGACAGGCAGGTAGTACGAAGCCCCTGAGTTACCACCGGGTTCTAAGATGAACTCTTTAGCAAAAACAGAGGAGGGAAATGCATGCCTTTAGATTAACTACCTTCATTTTCCTGAGGTGTGCACAACATAATGGAAAAACAAGGATGCCTAGGAGGCAGGAAGGGATTCCTGCCCGGCCAGTTCTTGTTGGGACATGTAGTACAGCAGAGAGGCTGTTCAAAGTCCTGAGTGGAACCTTGCTTTGGAACAAATGTGGCTTCGGTTGAACCTGGCTGCTCTAGTCAGGGTTTCTGGAAAGAAACCTTTAAAGCCCTCCACCCCCCACACTCCCCCTCCTTTGGCTGCTGCTCTTTAACTGGTGATCAAGACACTTTGTAAATCATAAGCATGAAAGTGAGTCCTTTGAGTGGTCCTTCAGAAGTTAAATGTAGCATTGGCACGAGACCCAGCAGCCCCACTCCTAGGGGCTCCAGAGAACTAGGAACACTGCTCAGTTGGAAACTTGAACACCCATGTTCGTTGCAGCAGCTGTTAAGAATAACAGCAAAATAAACTCGTAACACTTAACCACCCAAATGCCCATTGGTGAATGAATGGATGAGCAAAATGTGATTCATCGAAGCAATAGATTGCGAGGTCATAAAAGGGGTGAAAGTACTGATACAAGGGCTGGGCGATGGCTCCGTGTTTAGAGGGCCTGTTGTACAAGCATGAGGGCTGTGGTTCCAGTCCCTCAGAGCCCATGAAAATGCCAGGTGGGCATGGTGGCTTGGAGGACAAGAGATAGGATTCCAGAGCGTAGTGGCTAGCTAGATAAGCCAAACCAGCAAGTTCTGGGTCCAAGTGATTAAGATACACTCACGTGTGCACATGCAGTGTGTGTGTGTGTGTGTGTGTGTGTGTGGTGGCCGGGACAGGGACACTGATACATGATACAAGAATCAACTTTGGAAACATTAACCTTAGTGCAGGAGGTACATAGTGTATGGTTTGCTTTCTGTGAACTGTCCAGACTAGATAACCCTACAGAAACAACATAGTAGTGGCTGCCAGGGGTTGCGTGGCAGGTAAGAAGGGGGAGTGGGTGTTTAACAGAGTGTTGCTCTTGAGGGTGATGAACATGTTTGGAGACCAGACAATAGTGATGGTGACAGAACCCTGTAAATGTACCCGGTACTGAATTGAGTGTGTGAAAATGGCCAGATGATGATTTGTATGTTAGGAGAATCTTACTACAGAAGAAGAAAAACAAAACAAAACAAAGAGCTATTTTACAAAAATGATATTCGACACCGTTTGGCATTGAAGTTATGGGAGTGCCACAGTGTGTAACATTAATGAATGAAAGGGCAATCATTGTGTTTAAACTAATACAGTCTGAGTGGTTTACAACAGAAGCAAAAGCCTATTCTACCCACTGTCTCCACTCACACTGTCATGGCGTTGGTGGTATTTCCATTTATGATGTTTTTCTTAGAGAAAACCAAAATAGCCTAACTTCTAAGGGAGGGCAGAGCCTACCTGTTAGAACTGAATTTGCTGGGTGCTGTTTCTAACTGGTCCAAATGTTAATTAGTTGGAAAGGTCGCTATCATGGCCAGCCAGTTAATCCATATGCAAAAGAGTGGTTTAGGCCTGCCCTGCCCCCCCCCCCCCAAGCTGGGTTACAATGATAGGAACACTAGAGCAGTTGGGCTGTTCTTTCTGGAAGGACGAAGTTCAGTGGCAAGACAGAAGAAGGAGCCCTTCCCCATCCACTGTCTTCCTCCAAGTCCGTTTGTAGTCCTTCTTTGGGAGCTGAAAGACTTGTTTTGTAGTCCTGGTTTATTTTTACTTTTTAAAAAACGGTATTGCTTAGCTTATTTACCAGCCTTTGTGCCAAATAGCATTGGCCTGTTTACAAAAATCAGTATTATCCACAAAGGACAAAAATGTGTCACCCTCAGACATATTCAAAAGAATGTGCCAGAGGCTCCAGGACTAGTTCCAAAGAGGAGTTTAAAAAAAAAAAAAAGTCTTTCATTTGAATGATGGGAAATATAATTTAAATAAGTTTGTCGCTTGCCAAGGTGGCTACTTACTAGTCAGGGTGGGGCAACAGCCATTTAGAAATGTTTATTTAAAAATCAGTCACATCACTCGGTAGTTAAACCTTGGGTTAATTTTCTAATGGGGACAATGACACATGCAGCATGAGCCTTGCACAACTCTGCCATAAGTCTAAAATAGTTGGATTCTAATTCTTTCTTACAGATCAACAGGCATGGATTCCCTCCTGTGCCCTCTTCCCTTCCCGGAAGGGGATAGGGAATTCCTAAGCAAGCGTGCCCCCTCCCCACCAGCCCAATAATACAAGCCCTGCAGAGTGTGATGTTTAAAATGCCTGCAAGCACTCTGACCTACTTTATCTCATTCACTACTCACAATAGCCTGACTCGGAACACCGGGCCCTAGCCTCATGCTCTTTGGCCACTGCAAGGAGCTGCCAGGAGGAAAAGCTTAAAGGACTCCCTCAAAGTTCTGCTCACTGTGGCCAGCTACAGAGCCTGCCAGAACCGGAGGAACCCTATTTTGATTGGAGGGCCGAGGGAGGGCGTGAGACAGGGTTTCTTGTAGCACATCTTGAGCTCTTTTGTTGTTGTTTTAATTAATTGATTAAAATAAATTTTTAATTGATTTTATGTGTATGAGTGTTTTGCCTGCATGTATGTATGGGCTGCACATGCATGTCTGGTGCCCGAGGAGGCCAGGAGAGGTCATTGGATCCTCTGGAACTGGAGTTATAAGTAATAGTGAACCACCATGTGGGTGTTAGGAACTGAACCTGGGTCCTCTCCTAGAGCAAGAGGTGCTGTTAACTGCTGAACCATCTCTCCAGCCTCTCCCTGCCTCCTTATATGCATTTTTGAGACAGGGTTTCATGTGATATAGCACAGGCTGGTCCTGAACTCTGTATGTAGCAGAGGATGGTTTTGAATTTCTTTCATTGTCTGTATTGGATGCACACACGTGTACAGGTATGCACAACTGTGCTTGTGTATATAAGGGCCAGAGGAGGGCTTTGGCTGTTTTGTTTCATGGCTCTTCACCTTGTTCCCTTGATCCCTTGAGACAGGGTCTCTCCATGAGCCTAGAGCTAGGCTAGCAGCCAGCAAACCCCAAAATCTTCCTGTCTCAATATCCCGCAGCAGTGGAGTTACAGGCCCATGGGACCACAACCTATCTTTTAATGTGGGTGCTGGGGTTTCAAACTCAGACCTCAGTGGTTCTTACCCACTGAGCCATCTCCCCCAGCCCCTTGCCTTGAACTCTTAACCCCTCAATGCTGGAATCACAAGCATGAG